CAGGATAGTCCGAGTGTGTTTAGACTGCATGCATAGCAAAGGATGTCGATGCCTTTAATCATTGTCGTATGTATTCGGCGCTTTTATCTGGAGATCTTCACAGTTCATCACAAAGAAGCTTGTCTTGTTCATCTCTGCTTTACAGATAAGAAATGGAGGTGCAGCCAGCAAGGGCTGGATTTGCTCCAACTCAGGAGGACGAGTGTTCTAGGCACTGCGTTTTGAGCCAACCTACTTTGTGCTTCATCTCCAAGGCCAACACTCCTCTAATGAGATGCCTTGAGAAGCGACAAGGCATCAGTAAGGGCCTCATCCATGTTTTCTTGTTGGTGGTGGTAGCCAGTGCCTCTTGCATATGTATCTCAGCATCGCTGTCTGTACCTCACTATGCCCATAGCCCCTGGCTACAGCAGGGCAGTGGGTTTGCAAAGTTGCTCCCAATCGCAGATGAAAGGCAATCCTGGTTTCTGCATTGGTGTTTTGCATCATGGTGTAACATCTCTTCTCTCCAGCAGGCTGAATTTTATTTATTTATTATCCCTTTTCATAGATGCTTTAATAGAATGTAATTAGCACCAAAGGTAGAATCAAGACAAGAATAAATTAGGTCGTTAAGACAATGTCATCTTTGCCTGGGTGCTCTGGGTTTTGGGAGCCCAGCATGAGAGCCTCCTGCCCACACCCACCTGAGCTCCGTAGCCAAGAGCATCATGATGGGAGTGTGATGCCCCAGGGCTGCCAGCAGGATGGGTTCCAGGGCAAACTGACACCTTCCACCAGCAGCAACACAATGTGGGCAAAGGGAAACCTGCCCAGAGCCCAGCGTCTCCTCCCTTGTCACAGTGGCTGAGGAGCAGCCAGCTGAGCCCTAATCCATGAAACAAGGCACATTTTTCTCTGGAAGCCACATGGGCTTTAATGAGAGCCTGATACAGGGCCTTATAGCCCTATTTTTTTTTAAATTCCTTTTGAATTAGCACATTAGCGCTCTCAGTTCAAATGTATATTTCCCCTGACCCACAACTCCTTCCATGCAACATTCTTCCAAATCAGATTTTCCCAGGAACTTTTACAGAAAACAACCATTTCTCAGCTTCAGCAAGATCCAGTCCAGCTGATACAGTCTGCAAGAGAAAATATGGTTAAACTGACACATCATCTTTGGGTGCAGGCTGCTGGCCACAGAGCAGGAGGGAGCCTGGGCAGGAGCTGGCCCCAGGTGGGGGAAGGAGACATCTCCAAGCATCCCTGGGCTCAGCGCTGGGGTTGTCCACTCTGCTTTACAGGGTGACGTTTGCAGATCACCCTGCTTTTCCCTACCCCACTATTTAGTCACAGAGCAAATCCCTTCAGATAATGACAAGCGTAAACCAGCTTTATCAGAAAGAGCAAGATACACCTTCATGTCCCAGGAACCATGTTATGCCTGGCTTTGCCAGCCCCATCGATCTTCCAGCCCAACAGGGAAGCAAGGCAGCCCAGGGAACTCGGGTCACATCCTGGGCTGGACTACAGGACATGCAAACATTTGCCAGGGCCTTGTATTGCCTTTTCAGAAAAGAAACTAATTTCTCAGGCTTTAGGCTCTTAAGGCCGTCAGCTTTCCAAGAAATTTTAAATCCAATAAAATTCACCCAAATCCTATAAGCTCTCATGGAAACAAAGGCTGGACCGATTATTTTTTTGCTAAAAAGTTGGCAGGTTCCCAGCTTCATGAAATGCTGAAAGAGAATCTCTTGTGTGCAAAACCACTTATCAGTGGTTTTCATAAACAAATGAAAATAAGACATTTCAGGAAAAAAAAGGGATTTTAAAAATAGCCTTGGGGCTGGAAGGGGAAGGTTCACACTTATTTTTCATCCTTCTTTCCCCTCCTCCAGCTAAAAG